CCCTCCCAGCTGTGAATGAATTCCTTATCTACTCAAATTAACAAAATATAGAACATACTGACTGTAACAAATGTTTCAATTAAAATAAGAAATTAGACAAAGACAGCTATAGCTGAAATTTCTGTGGTGATAATTCATTACACCTCTCTTCTCTTGATTTCTGGACTAATTGAAAAACAGTATTTTTGTTAGTAATGCTTTGTTGCAAGATACAACTTGAATCTGGAGTTAATATGCACATCCTAATACTTCATTCAACTCTAGACACTGAAACTTATACAAGGTGAGAACTGGGCCTGCAGAGTAGGCAGAGAATCATAGCCTGCCCAGGGACCGTAGAGAAATTAAGGGCCCAGTAAAAGGAGATCATTTATGTACTTTAACACTTATCACCGATGCAACTAATCACTTCTCTTATGATACACAAACAAGAGTATGAATGAAAATAGGAAGTAGAAGTGATCCTCAAAAACTGACCCTCCAGTCTGTAAAAATGGGGAAAATGTGGTAAAAACAAGCCCTGCCCAAAACTCACTGTCCACAAGTCTACAACATGCAATAAGACAAGAAAATAAAATAGGTATAAACTACAAATATTGTGAATGGGGTTTATCATCTTTATCTACAGATTATATAACTATAAAGCCCAATGGAATCTTTCCATTTTAGAATCAGTGTCTTAATAAAATATATTAATCTTTCAGGTATTACAAACCTATGTTATGTATTTTGAAGCATTACATTATAAGGATATTAGAGGGCCAGGAGAATGAGCTGTCAAAGAAATTTTAAGACACATATATTAGTCAATGTTAATTGTGCACTCATTTGGAATACTGTTTTTAAATTCAGTAATATTCAAAATACAATCCAAATGAATTTTTTATTGGAACTGGATAATTTAAAAATTCTCATGAAGAAATAATTCTCTTTAGTTCCAAATAATACATAATTAATTATACATATCTTTTATTGAAAAGTGTAAGTCAAAGATTGCTGGAAATTCAGCACAGAAGTAGATCTGAGGATATGAGCATTTAATATATAACAATGATAGCATTTTAATTCAGTAGCAGAAAGATGAATAATTTAATTGCTTCTGGCATAACTGGCTTTATTTCTGGCTGGAAAGAAAGCTGAAATATGGCATCACACCTTATACCATATCAATTCCTGATGGGTTAAAATTTTAGATTAAAATTTTGTGTGTGTACATACTCCTGCAAAAACACACATGAAAAATTGCAAACTCTCTTTCTTTGTCCTCAAGCCCTCTGAGATTTTCAGTGGGCAACTGATGCTATGAAACATTCCTAAGAAACATAGGAGACAATGAAAACAGTTCGGGAAATCTATTATATAGAAATATCAACTTGATGGCACACAACAAAAATAAAAGATAATACAGTATGTTTATTGCACCATTGCTTTTAAACGGCAAAGAGGAAACAATATGAAGTCCAGTAATTGGGGAAATGGTTGAACAGGTATTGAGACAACCAAACTGTGAAACATACTGTAACCATTAAAAAGACGAAGTTAAACCATTATTTACTGACCTGAAGGGAAATCCAAAATGTACAGCTGAATTTACAAAAAGAAATTACAGAGAAATGTATAAAGTATCAGCTATTTTTCGATAAAAATATACTAAATCATTTACTTGTGTGTTAATATTTGAGCATGAAGCAATATATGCACATATAAACCCGCTGCCGTCCAGTTGATTCATAGGACAGAGTAGAACTGCCCCGTAGAGTTTCCAAGGCTGCAAATCTTTATGGAAGCAGACTGCTACATCTTTCTCCCGTGGAGTGGCTGGTGGGTTTGAACCACTAACTTTGTGGTTAGCAGCTGAGAGCTTAGCCAGTACGCCACTAAGGCTCCTCATGGGGGATACACAGTGTTTAAACATTAAACAAAAGAAATGGACACGGGGAGAGGGAGAAATGGAGACAAATAGGGATATTAATTTTTTGTTATCTTTATTCTGAAGAAATTAAAGTAACTCAATCTTAAAAAGAAAACAAAACTCCCAGGGGGTCTAAGCGAAAAGGGAGCAGAGCATGGAATGAAAGACCTATGGTAACTCTGGCTACATGGATCTTCCACAGGATAGTATACATCCAATGAAGGAAGGTGCTTGCTGAGCATGAAAACTGAGGCACAGGAAAGGCTCATCTCAAAACACCAACCCTAACCTAAACCAGGCTAACTGTGGGATTGTTTTTCACCTTCAGGATTTCTATTACTAGGCTTCTACATTATGATGAGTTGTTGAGTGAGTAGTTGTGACACAGACAATATGGCCTACAAATGCTTAAATATTTACTACGTGGCCCTTTACGGAAGAGGTCTGTCAATCCCTGTCTAGGGCAGAATATATAATTCCAGTGACACACCTGCTGCTAGTGTGCAACTGCGGTAGTTCTACCTGCTCTTCTTCCTTGATAGGTTAAGGCTTTAAAATTGTGTATTTTCAGTTGTGTATAATAAAGTTCAAGAATGGAATATACAACACGTAAAATATATCCTCCCCCTCTTTTTAATATCAACATGATGCTTAAACAAAAACTTCATATAGAAAATACTGGGCTGGGTCAAGTCCTTTTTAAAAAAAAAAAAATCTTTATGCTTGGAGTTTGGCTATTTAATCCCTGGAAAGACTGTTCATCTGAAACAGTTCACATTCCAGAAACTCTTGGTTAATTATCTTGTGTTTTCCTATTTCCCCCTCCAGCCCTCTCCCTTAAATTTACCTAACCAGAACCACTGTGGTTGGGACCAAGGAATCTGTATTTTTAAAAGGTCCTCCTTTGAGTCTTTTGCACAGTCAGTGCTCTAGGGCCCAGAACAGCAGTAACCCATAAGGGCCACTTGCTACTGTCAGAGCCCATGTATTTTCTTTGACTCTCACAGTGTTACTTATTTAATTTGAGCTGCCATTTAAAAATCAAGAGATATCGCACACTGGAAAAAAAAACAAAAATTCTAGATTCTCTCCAAATGTCCAAAGAGCTGGCAAAATGGGACTTACACTTTCTCACAGCATCACAGCAGATCTGGGCAGTGGGCACCTCTTTGGTTACTGTCCCAACCAGGTTCATTATTATTATTCTTTTAACCGATACCTGGAGTTTGCTAAATTGTTCAGGATGCTTGCATGTATCTTCATAGATACTAAACAATAGCTTTCTTTTCTTGTGCTCTCCTAATCCATTTCTGACATTAGGATCAGGTGAGACAATGAGATGTCTACTTCTATATAACTGTACCAGTTCCTTGAACTCTTGACGTATTTTTGCCCGGAAAAAAGTTGTGTGTGGTGGTTTATTAGTAATAGCTAATAGAGTTCATGCTAATTTTTCCATTTCCTGTGTGTATAAGAGAGTCTTCTAAGAGTTCTAATTCTCTGAGTCAATGCTGGCGATACACATATATATATATATGTATATATTTTTAATTTGTCTAGGTTTTCAAATGTATTAGAAAAAAGCATTATACTTAGTATAGCATTTTAAATTTGTAACTATAAGGTTTTATCATTTCTCAAACATAATGCTGTTCATTTGTCTTTTCATTTTTTTAATCAGTGTCACAATGTTTTGTCTATATTCTTGTTTCTTTCAAAGAAAGTTTTACGTTAGGTATTTTATAATGTAGCAAAAAGGGTGCCAGTCTGAAAAAAGTCATTCTCACACATTGCACCTATTACTCTCCGCATTATTATTTCATGTTCAACAGAAAATAAGTGATGATGGAAAATTCTCTTCATTCATTACCCTCTCGAAGGGTATTTCTTCAATGTGAGTACCCTGCTTGGTACTGAGTAAGGTAGCTTAACAGTTAAGTCTTGCAACACATAATACTAATGGCCATGATGAATACAGTATTATATGACAGGCACAGTTCTAAGCACTTTATGTGTCTTAATTCATTTAATCTTCCCACTTTATGAGGTAGGTATTATAATTATCCCCATTTAATAGTTTCTACACAGACGTACAACTATAAAAATATAGAAAAAATGATCAGGAAGGACAAATAATAAATTGATAATAAAGGCTATTCTTTGGGAAGTGAAACTGTACAGGGATGATGGTCCAAGGGTACTTTCACCTTATTTGCAATGTTTAAATCTTTCATAAGGAAAATATATTCATGATTTCTGCAAAAAAAAAAAAAAAAAGACCTGATAGATGTGCTGAGGGATAATGTCCATCAGGGTACTGTGTATAATGGCAAAAAGTCAGAAGGAAGCCACCATGTCCATCAAGAGAGAATTGACAACATAATATTACAGCAACACAAGAAAACATCAAGAACCTATTAAAGAATCTCTATTCACTGAGTTGAAAGTTGTTCACAAATGCTTTTACAATAAAAAAGCCTTAATTTTGTAAAGAGCAAAAAGAATAAGCCATTTTCTCAAATAAAGAGGTCACTTCTCTCAGGTATTAAAGTATTTTTAAAATAAAGGTATTTTATAATCGATGATATAAACAGTATGGACTGTAGAGTTAAATCTCAGATGGATTAAAACATTAAGAATGAAAGAATCACAGACTAATTAGAAAAAAAAAATTCACAGGATTACATTTCAGCATGAATTCTCTGATGTTTAAGATGAGGTTACAAAAGTGTCAAAAGTGCTTTCATTTTCAATACTTTATATAGTTTGAATCATCTGATATAAAAAAAAAATATGAGCTTTTATTAAAGGACTTCTCAAAATGTATTCTATCCATAGCATGCTCCTCTATCTTGAATTTTCTCAGGCTAAATACCTCAACAAATGAGATATTTCTAAGTTATTCTATTTATAGGGATTATTATCAAGATAAATTGATGTTGAATATAGTTTTGAGCTGTAATTAAAAGCCTTCATACACATTTCATATATTTTACAGTTTATCACCAGTATAAATTTTGATGTTGAATAAGCTGTGAGCCATAGTTAAAGGTCTTTCCACATTCCCTATATTCATAGGGTTTTTCACCAGTATGAATTCTATGATGACTAATAAGTTGTGAACTCTGAGAATACGCCTTCCCACATATCTTACATTCATAGGGTTTCTCACCAGTGTGAATTCTTTGATGTCGAGTCAGGTCTGAACCAGAACGAAAAGCCTTTTCACATTCCTTACATTCATAGGGTTTCTCACCTGTATGGATTCTCTGATGTTTAATAAGTTGTGAGCTCTGACTGAAGGCATTGCCACATTCCTTACATTCATAGGGTTTCTCCCCAGTATGAATTCTCTGATGTTGAGTAAAGTTTGAGCCACTACTAAAGGCCTTCCCACATTCTTTACATTCATAGGGCTTCTCACCAGTGTGAATTCTCTGATGTCGGGTAAAGTTTGAGCCACTACTAAAGGCCTTACCACATTCTTTACATTCATAGGGTTTCTCACCAGTGTGAATTCTGTGATGGCGAGTAAGGTCTGAGCCACAAATGAAGGTTTTCCCACATTCTGTACATTTGAAGGGTTTCTTGCCAGTATGTATTTTCTGATGATGAGTGAGTCTTGAGAGATGTCTAAACGCCTTTCCACATTCCTTACATTCATAGGGTTTCTCAATGGTATGAATTATCTGATGTGTCGTAAGTTGTGAGCCACGTCTAAAGGCTTTCCCATATTCCTTGGTGTCACAGAATTTCTCTTTGTTTTTGAAGATTTGGTGTAACGTAAAGGACGGATGCTGACTGAAAGTGGGCATATCTTCATGAGTAAGTATCAGTTGACTGAAGTGCCCCTCCTGAGAGCCACACCGTTTCTCACACTGGCTATTACATTCCCAGTCATCTCTAAAGCTAGAGCACTGAAGATGATGTGTAAGTCTTTCCATTATCTCCCACTGGGATGATTCTATTTCATAACTTTCCTTCTTCAGATATAATTTCTTGGTCTCACATCTTGATTCCAAGTCTGAAAGAAAATACAAAAGCACTCACTCACATTTTTCTTGTTCCATGGGAAATAAAACTTTAAAATGGGAGAATTAAACTAAATTTTAAAAAAGGGACAAAAAAAGAAGACAGACAGAGGACAGGTCACATAGAAAGAAGAGGGCAGTGATTAGGGGAACAAAGTAAGTCATTGGTTCCCAAACATTGATATAGATCAGAATGACTTAGGGGAGCTTATTATAGATCTTATAACAAGGATGAGTCTAATTATCACACAGCATACACACACACACACAGCATCACACAACACTAAGTATAAAATCAGGGGAATTTTCACACCTACTTAATAGGATTAGGAGCCCTGGTAGCACAGTGGTTACGAGCTCAGCCGCTAACTAAAAGGTCAGCAGTTCGAATCCACCAGCTGCTCCTTGGAAATCCTATGGGGCAGTTCTACTCAATCATATAGGGCTGCTATGAGTTGGAATTGACTGGATGGCAACCAGTTTGGTTTTGGTTTTTTAATAAGATTGTTGTCAGAATTAAATCAATGTGCCTAAGTGATGAGATCTGGAGGTTGGCAAACCACAATTTGTGGTACTGTGCTTGTTTTTGTAATTAAGGACACAGGAACACTCATTTGTCTATGTATCGTCTATGGCTGCTTTTGAGTTACAATAGCAGAGGTGAGGGTAATTGTGACAGAGACTGCGTGGCCTAAAAGCCTAAAATAGTAATTACCTGGCCCTTTAAGAAAAAGTTTATGGATACCTGGTTAAATACATATTGGTCTAATAAAGTAGCCACTAGCCATACGTGGCTATTTAAATTTAAAGTAATTGAAATTAAATAAAATTTTATTCCTCAGTTGCATTTTCCAATGTTTAATAGCCACATGTGGTAAGTGGCTACCATACTGGAAATCACAAACACAGTAAATTTCCATCATTGCTGAAAGTTCTATTGGACAGCAGTTGTCTACAAAAACTTGAGGGCCTGGGGCTTTTTAACAAATAATAAGGAAATAAACAGTGACAATCCAGATTGGAAAATATCTTAGGAAAAGTCAAATGTTGAATGAATGGAGCATGAATGGTAGATAGGGAAGATTCTTTTGCAGATGAAATATATGTTTGGGGTTTCAAGAAAATACTGTTTGCCTTGGAATTCTGTGACGCTGACCTTAGGAGAGGAGAGGAGGGGACTTAGGTGTACAAATATTAGTGATGACGGACTGACAGGAAAGGTACTTGTAGGTTTAAAGAAAGAGGAGAATAAAATGGGAGGCAGTGTATTGCCATTGAAAGATCAGAGGCACTAGATCCAGACTGTAACTCAGTTTTAAACTCAAACTCAGATAGTTACAAGTTTGATTTTCTTGGAAAATTAGTTCATCTTTCTGAGTCCCCAGTTCCCTGTTGATCCGATAGGAATAACTAACTCCTGTGATTCTCGTGAGAATTGGGAACAATGTATGTAAATTACCTGGTAGAAAATGTTTCATATTAGGTGGATAATATTAACTTCTGTATAAAAATGGGGACATTTGGCAAGTGAAGTGGTTTGAGGAACACACTACGGAACCAGAGGAGAAAGCTCATGCCAAAATGGTAAAAATCACTCTAGTACCATCTTCTTCCTCTTATTCCTGTAAAATCATTCAGCAAAACCTGCCTAGTCTTGCTCCTAAATATCTCTTGAAACTGTTCTCTTCCCCTTATCTCTGACACCAATACCTAATGTGAAACATCTATTCCTTGCGCTACTGAACAGCCTCCTACCTAGTTTCCCCACTTGAGGTTTGCAATCTTGAATCCTTTAGGGCACTAGAATGACATTCAGCCAGTCCTTGCACTGCTTATAATCTTTCAGTGGCTTCCCATACAATATTGCTCTTATGATAAAAGCCAAACTCCTGAACATAGTCTATAAAGCCCTGAATGATCTTGCTCCTGCCTATCTCTCTCAACCAAATCTCACACTATGCTCCCGGGACATTGCTTTCTAAGCCCCATCCATACTGGTCCTGTTTTTCAGTTCTTCAAATGCTTCAAGGACTTTGTCCCTCTCAAGTCCTTTCCAGATGTTCTTGCTTACGTCTTGAAGGTGTTTTCTTTTACTCTTGGCCTTGGTAACAACTGTTTATTTTCCAAATCTCCACTTAAAGGTCATACTTTTTGAGATCTTCCCTGATCCGTTGATCAAATTATGCTTTCCTTGTAATTACCTTTTTAGCACTCTGTTCTCTTCCTCAACAGTATTTTCACAATTTGTAATTACACTGGGTTCATTTTTATGTTCATTTTAATGCATATAACACAACCTTGCTTGCTGAAAGCGAAGGGGACTTGAAGCACTTACTGATGAAGATCAGAGACTACAGTCTTCAGTATGGATTACACCTCAACATAAAGAAAACAAAAATCCCCACAACTGGACCAATAAGCAACATCATGATAAACGGAGAAAATACTGAAGTTGTCAAAGATTTCATTTTATTTGGATCCACGATCAACGTCCATGGAAGCAGCAGTTAAGAAATCAAATGATGTATTGCACTGGACAAATCTGCTGCAAAAGATCTCTTTAAAGCATTCAAAAGCTAAGATGTCACCTTGAGGACTAAGGTGTGACTGACCCAAGCCATGATATCTTCAGTCGCCACATACGCATGCAAAAGCTGGACAACGAATAAGGAAAACCGAAGAATTGACACCTGTGAATTATGGTGTTGGCAAAGAACACTGAATATACCATGGACTGCTAAAAGAACAAACCAAATCTGTCTTGGAAGAAGTACAGCCAGAATGCTCCTTAGAAGGAAGGATGGTGAGACTTGGTCTCACATACTTTGGACATGTTATCAGGAGGGACCAGTCCCTGGAGAAGGACATGCTTGGTAAAGTGGAGGGTCAGCGAAAAAGAGGAAGATGCTCAGTGAGATGGATTGACACAGTGGCTGCAACACGTGCTCAAGCATAACAATGATTATGAGAATGGTGCAGGACCGGGCAGTGTTTTGTTCTGTTTTACACAGGGTCGCTACGAGTCGGAACCAACTCAATGGCACCTAACAACGGGAACAACAAAAGATATAAAAATCATGACACCTAAGTTAAAATCACAAGATATAAAATAAAATAAGAACTTCGAATTCTTGAAAAAAATTCTCATAGAATCAAGGATAGAAAAGTTGACAGAAAAAAATGAGTCATATGCAGGAATATTGATATAGGAAATATAATAAATGTAAATATAAATTCCAGAAGGAGAAGATAGAGATCAACAACAACAACAAAAAAAATTCCCAGGGCTGAAGAAAACTCTTAGTAATCAAATGGTTTCCTTCTGTGCTGGCCAAGATTTATGAGGAAAGAGCTTTAATTAGATATATCTCGGTAGAATTTCTGAGGTACAAAAAAAAAAGGGAAAATTCCAGAGATTAAAAAAGCTGGTGACTCAGGTTGTATCATACCCATGGACATGTTTGGTTTTGCCCTCACAATTCCCTAAAGTTTTAAATTATTTACTAGCTTTGAGATACCAGGAGATTTAATATAGAAATCTGGATTTCTAGCTTTCCTTGGCAGCAATGGTCCTGCATTCTTACATGACAGTATGGACTTGGACTTACAGGGTGCTTGCCCCACTGAATCAGGGGATAGAGTGTCTCATTAATCACTGTTTCCACTAATGCCTATTCCCACACTGATCTCCAGGTCAGAGTCTCAGCTGCCATGTACCATCACATCTGCACAATAAAACACTGTTCTACTTCCTTCTACCCTCCATGGTTTTATGAAGACAAATTCAGTTATTGGAATCATTATTCCTAGAAATAATGTAATGCCTTTCAATGGTTCTTTCACCTTTTTTTTTTTTTTTTTTTTGGTCTTAAATTTTCAGCGTATATGTTTTGTCTGGGTCTGGATGTCTTTGGATTTATCCTGTTTGGATTTGCTGAGCTTCTTGAATCAGTGGGTTTATTATTCCTTTCACAAAATTTGGTAAGTTTTTAGCCATTATGTCTTCAAATATTTTTTTCACTCCTAAACTTTTTCTTCTAGGACATCAATGACATGAATGCTAAAACTTTTGTTGTTGTTCCACAGGTCCTAAAAGGCTGTATTTTTTTTTCCTTTTAATCTTTTTCTGTTGTTCAGATTGGATAATTTCTTTTGGTGTGTCTTCAAATTCACTGATTTTCCTCTGTCATCTCCTTTTTGCCACTGAGCCTATCCAGTGAGTTTTTAAAGTTTAGTTATTGTACTTTTCAACTCTAAAAATTCCATTTGTTTCTTCTTTCTATTTTCTATTTCTTAGCTAACACACACACGAAAACCCTGGTGGCGTAGTGGTTAAGAGCTCGGCTGCTAACCAAAAGGTCAGCAGTTTGAATCCACCAGGTGCTCCTTGGAAACCCTATGGGGCAGTTCTACTCTGTCCCAGAAGGGTCTCTATGAGTCGGAATCGACTTGATGGCAACAGGTTTGGTTTTTGGTTTTTTTATTAGACTGTAAATTGTGAAATTGCTTCTTCCTTTTTTAATGTCAGCAGCACCCAGACGAGTACTTCACACACATTAGAAAATTAACAAATGTTGATTAAAAGTATGAGGTAGTCAATGAATGCACGAACTACTATATTTTTTTTTAAAAAAAAAAAACTAGTTAACGAAAATAAGTACTTGGCAATGTAGAAAAAAACATATTTCAGAAGAGAGTGATGCTTTTATAAGAATAAACACAAAAGTGAATGAGAAGCTGAAACAGAACTGGATCCAAAATATGAAGAGAAGGGATGCTGCTGGAGAAGCTGGAGGCCAGCACCAGTGGGTTAGGCTTGGAAGAGATGTATGACAAGAGAAGAAGAGCAAGCAGCATGTTAGATAAAGTCATTTGAAAGCTCACGCTGAAAGGCCTTACTTTTGCACACAGGTCTAAGGATTTTGATGGGAGCTTTTCAGGTAACATCTCAAAGGTGCAGTCTATGCACTGCTGTGCTTCACTTACCTGGCCATTGGCCCCTTGTCAGCTCTCTGTCAACCAACCAGGGCTCCTTCCCTTGCTCCAAGAAGGAGATAACATCTGGTTTGGAAAAGGAACATCCTGCTTAAAAAAAAAGTAATGAAACAAATTTTTGCTAAGAATGTCCTAGGATTCAAATCCAGTCCCTTCATTATCAAGAAAGACGTGACATTACAGGAAGAATCAGAAAAAGGTATAACAGATTATGAAAAACAGACGATTTGAAACATACCCCGTAATTCCCTTTTCTAACTCTACGACATTCCAAACATTCCTCTGGGAACAGGAAGCAGAAATCCAACTGGTTACCTGAAAGGTAGCTGAGCATTTCACATTGCAGGAAGCAGACCTGAGGGCAGAATCTGAATTATTATGGACAGGCATCCTTACCCATTGAAACCAGGTTACTATAATTCTCCAACATCACATCTCTGTATAAATCTCTCTGATCCTCATTCAGGCATTCCCACTCTTCCTGAGAGAAGTCTATGGATACATCACTGAACATCACTGACTCCTGGAATAACAACCAAGTATTACTTTAATCAAGTCTTTTTATTAATTATAAAAAGAAATGCCTTTGTGAAGGAGAGAGAAAAGAAAAAATGAAGGCAGAGGGAGTGACAAATAGTGAGCATACAAACCAAAAAACCCATTGCGTCGAGTCGATTCCGACTCATAGAGACCCTACAGAACAGAGTAGAACTGGCCCATAGGGTTTCCAAGGAGCACCTGGTGGATTAGAACTGCTAACCTTTTGGTTAGCAGCCAAGCTCTTAACCACTAAGTCACCAGGGTTTCCAGTGAGCATACAGAGTGGGGCTAAATGGGAAGCAAGTAGAGGAACTAAGTGTAAAGATATTAGCATGAATGAATCAGTGTGCTTCCACATCATTCTGCTTATGCCAGATAAAACTGCCTGTGTACACAGGAACAAATCCATTATCCAAACAGGTCTGGGAAGGTACAAAATCCAGCTCAGGGGAGTTTCCCAATTAAATGTAATAGTGTATACAAACATCCAGCAAAAAAATACCTGTCATACAGTAAATCATCAACAGATATGAGCCTCTCCCTCCCTTCCTCCCCCTTTTCAAATATCTAAGAGTAAAATTTCAGAATAAGGGAAACAACAAGACATTAAAATCTTCCAGAGGGGGAGGCAAGTAGGTCATATAAAACACACCAGGAATCAGAAAGGCAATGGAATTCTCAAGAACACCCTTCAATATGCTGATGGACAAAAAAATTCTGACAGAGAATCATATAACCAACCTATCATTCTATTGTGAGGGTTGAGCAGAAGTGATAAAGTCCTAGGTATGCAAGGACTCAAGCACCATTTCTTAGGAAACTACTGAAGAATGTGCTCCACCAAAACAAGGGAGTAAACCAAATAAGAGGAAGACATAGGATCAGAAAACAGAAGTAACACAGGAGAGCAGTGAAGGTGAAGGAAAATCCCAGGAAAACAACAAAAGGGAAATCTCAGGAAAACTGTGCAGTAGGCTGAGAGTAACCAGACCAGATGAGAGCAGGAAGACAAAAGGCATGTGTAATGTAGTAGTCTCAGGAGTCATCTAACTTCAAGATGGAGAATGAGAAGAGCCATCAGCCCAAAGCTGATTCCTATGAGGTGGAGGTCAGACATACCTCCACTCTCCAACCATTTTTTTACCAATTCGGACCATCCCTTGGCCCTTTTTGGCCATGGGTTCTTATACATACTTAATATTTGGAGGGTTCCTTCTCTCTCCTCGTACATTTTACCAGTCCAAATCAGTCATTAACAATTAGTCCTTTAGAAGGGCAAATACTCCTCGGGGTGAGGTCTCTCAGGTACCAGTCACTCAGGTCTACTGCCCATGTCCTCTGATCTGGTCAGGTTCTCCAAAAGTCATCTCAGCTTCACCTTTTCTGGCCTCTGATAAAATTTAACTGAGAGAATATTATTCCCTTACCCTGAGAAAAACCTTTAAGGGACTTTTGGTGAGTACACTGTACTCTAGTCCAGCAGTGCCTCCCTCTTAGTCTACTCTTTCACAGTTACAGCCTCTACAATTACACTTTTTACAATCACAATTGCCCTGATTAGCAATCAATACTCACAACTGAATCATAAAGTTGTATCAGCATCTTCCCCCACCCTCTTGTCCGCAGACCCATCAGGAAAAGAGGAATCTATTCAGTGGGGATCCTCCCTTGTCCCCCTCATTCTGAGTGTAAGTACACTCACAAAAGTGTGGAAGCCAGCCACTTCATGCCTTTATCTCTCCATTTCCCCTCTTTTTAGACAGCCAATGTTTAAATTGCTCATCCCTATCAAACCAGTACTCTGAGGAGACAAGTATGTTTCTTGGTCCAAAGAATTTTCTGTTCCAGTTAGAACTCTGAGCATCTGTATCCATAAGCAAAGTCCAGTCCAGGGCAAGCCATCACACTGCAATAATCTATACCAACTCACAGTGTCAAACATTTCTCTCTTCCCCATTTACTTGGGGTCTGGCCAACTCATCCCTTACCCCTGTGGGCTAGGTCAACGGGTACAAGCTGTGGGCTTGGGAATCCACACAACTCCCTGCACTTCAGACCAGCTAGTCCCTTCCTCTCTCTCTCATCCCTAGCAACCAAGGCTAGGTCAATGGGTGTCAGAGGAACACGTCCAAACTGAAACCCATCTCATCACTGCTGCACCTCCCCCACTTCCACTTATCCCATGGATCCAGGTAATCACCTCAAGTGAGCATATTAGGCTAACTAGTCGCTAGCTCCCCTTAGCTTCCAGTCTTGGAAAGGGGTTCTTGATGGGCACTGACATTTCATGGCTCGATGCACCCAATAGTAAACCACTTGCCTGGAGTCCAAAACATGAAATAGTACTTTTTTTTTTTTTTTTCTTTTGCTCTCCCCACAGTTCTGGGTTGATCTGCATGTTTTTCAAATGTAAATTTCCTGCTCCAAAGTTTCTGGGTGGGGCTCAGGTTTTCAACCTAAGCCCCCAATACTCTCTTCACAAGGCTACTGTATTGAAACAGACAGCCTCTATTTCTTTAGGGTAAATCCTAGTTCCCTTTTAACATATCCAGTCAGTATGCTCTTTGTTTTCACAATACTCAATATTCATCTCCCTCATACATTTAGGTCTGTTTTACAACACCAGGTAGGGGAAACGTACCTTTAGTCAGTACATTCAGATAAACACATAAACCCAACCCATTGTCCTCGAGCAGATTCATACTCATAGCAACCCTATAGGACAGAATAGAACTGTCCCATAGGGTTTCCAAGGAGTGGCTGGTGGATTCGAACTGCTAATCTTTTAGTTAGCAGCTGGATGCTTAATCACTGCACCACCAGGGATCCCAGAAACATGTAACCTTTTTAAACCTTCTGGTTTCATCTTTTCTCCACCCTTTGACTATCTTCTCATTCATATGCATACAGCCTTGGGCCTCTGGCAGGGTAGAACCAGAAAACCCTGGCCCTCTATCAGTCATCTTGCTTAACTTGCTGAGCTTTTGCTCCGGGCCACTCCAGATGGGCTTTCTTATCCTCAACTTCCCTATCTGTTGCTCCAGTACAACATCTCTCACTTTCGTTTTAGCCATTACAGATAACAACCACCAAAGTAACTATCCAAGAATCAAAAGTTTCACTTCCCATGACCTTTCATCCTTTCTCTTCCAAAATCCCATGTTTCCATGAGTCAGGAGCCATTGCAGCGAATTCTACTTCTGATGTCAACTGTAATGTAGTGGCATCAGGAGTCGCCTGACTTCAGGACGGGGGATGAGAAGAACCAACAGCCCAAAGCTGACTCCTGTGAAGTGGAGGTCACACATACCTGTACTCTCCAACTGTTTTACCAATTCTGACACCAGCCATCCCACCCATAGTACTCTATTTCTCTGATGGGTTTGATAATTCATTGCAATGGCCACACAGAACTCACAAATCATACTCACAGTTACGGGGTTTATTAGGGAAGTAACAGGTTACAACAGGAGCCCTGGTGGTGCAGTGGTTAAAGTGCTTGGCTGCTAACCAAAAGGTAGGCGGTTCAAACCCATGAGCCATGCCGCAGGAGAAAGATGTGACAATCTGTTTCAGTACGGATTTACAGCCTTGGAAACCCTATGGGGCACTTCTACTCTGTCCTATAGGGTCACTGTGAGTGGGAATCGACTTGACAGCCGTGGGTAGTGGGAACAGGTTATAATTCAGGAGTCAGGATAAGTTTGTCAATCAGGACAGCTTCCAACCAGGATGGCTCTCAGCTTTCTCTCAGCCATGCCTGCAGGCAGGCCTCAGTTCTTGGCCTGGCCCCTGCCTCCAGGTCTTGCTCGGGCCTAGCCTCTGTCCTACTATAGCTCTGTTTGCTCCTCCATGAAGTGCCTGGAGGCAACCCACTCTACCAGCAAGCCTCCTGCATCCTCCTGTTGCTGCCATCTCTCACTGTCTTAAGGGTTACAACTCTCTCACTCCCGGGTCTAAGAGGTTTTCAGCACAGGGACCCCTGGTCCAAAGGAAACACTCCACTTCAGGTTCTTCTTCTTGATGGTAGTGAGGTCCCTCCCAACCTCTGTCAGATTAGCCCTTTTAAAAGCTTACTCCTTCCACCAAGACCACAAATTGACCAATCCCCTTGATAGGCCACAGGCACCTTACCTGCATAATAAACTGTGTAATCCCCGTAATGGTTTTACGTGCCTCATTTGCACAGTAAACAGTCCAATCCCTTTGCAAGATTGCAGCCAAGCAAATCACCACGGCGGAATTACAAACCCAGGGCCAGAAAAGACTAATGATGGGGCAAGACAAATAAGTCTTGTAAATATGTGTAAAATGACTTTAAATTTTTTATTTTAGAAAATTAAATTAGCATATAGTTTAAGAGTTTTAAGACTCTGGTCCATTCTCATGCCACACTATTACATAAGAATTATTCTTTGTTACAACAAATTCTTTCATAGACATAATTTTTTTTAACTGAATAATATCCCATTATATGGATATAAGGAAAACTTTGCTTTTGCTTTTAGATATTTAGACTGGAGGTGATCATTAAGGACCTTTCCAGCACTGGCCCAATCTTAGTTAAAACCACCCACTACTCAACTATAAATTCTCCTTGTTCCTGAGATACAAAAAAATTGATGGAGGATGATCCAGATGCACACAATGCTTTACTGAAGTCTACCTTTCATGGATGTCTTGTGGGGTGTCAGAGTTTTGTACAGACCACCAGTCACACTCATAAACCAGGAGATCTTACCATGTAGTAAGACTGAACTCTAATAACACCATTGTATGTATTTTCTTACTAGAAAAGCCAGGTCTGTGTAGATCATCTGGACTTTTTCCTATAAAACAAACAAACAAACCAAACCCGTTGCCATCTAGTCAATTTTGACTCATAGCGACCCTATAAGACAAAGTAGAACTACCCCACAGGGTTTCCAAGGAGCGGCTGGTGGATTCTAAACACTGACCTTTTAGCAGCCGAGCTCTGAACCACTGCGCCACCAGGGATTCCTATGAAACGCCCCTAATTACTCATCTCCATCCCATCAAATCAGTGTCCAAACACAATAGCTTCACTAATTGGGGAACACATTTTGGTTCCATCAGAACTTCTGGCAGACATCTGAGAGAAGAGATGCTGAAGGATTTACTAAATGAGTAAATAAACATTGCTTAAAAGAAGTGGGAACTGGGGACAGCACTGGATTGTTTAGGAGGAAATGGGGGTCAGCATCCTGACAGGGGACCCTCTTAACCAGTATAAAAAAAATGTTTCAAACCTGTTCTGGGTCAGACCACTTTATGTTACATAACTCATAATCTCTTTGTCAGAAGAAATAAGCATTTCTGATGAAATTCATAAGCAATTATCTGATGAATTTTAATCTGATCAAAACATCTTCTGATAATCTTGTTACCTAGCCACTTATCTAACAACTAATTGTCAGTTAAAAGCACAAAAATCTTTAACCAGATATCTTCTTTTTGTCTAACAATCATTATCCAACTACTTCCTTTTTCTATAAAACTTCTTCACCAAGAGAGAAATTTTTTGACTTAGCCTGTTAGAAACATTTTCCTTTAGCAAGGGTAAGAAAACTTTGACAGCTGCTTACAACTAAACCGTCAGGAAGTTTTTTTTAAACAGAGTCATGACGAGGAAAGCAAATGCTTACATGTACTGGGGGTAAAAATAACACTATGTGAGCAAAAGGAGACAGCATCTGACCTGAGCCATGGCTTCGATATTTGCAGAAAGGGACCAGTCTTCTTCTAGGCCCCTCTTTTGGAAAAAGGCAGATCTAGGGAAGGAAGAAGAAGCTACATCAGACCTCATTTGCCTCACAGCTCCCAGAATGATCATCTTCCCTCGGTTCACCCCACACAAACACTCAGGGGTATTAGTGAGAAGAATGGACAAGTCTCTCATTATTCCTGATTGCAGAGACCCCAGTTCTGACTGGAACAGGATGGATTTGGGCAACTTATCTGGCTTGGAGAATACGTCTGTAGACACACACACAAAGATATTTAAAAAAAATTTTTTTTTACATAAATGGTAGCTTATTATACACCCTGTTATCCACATTGCTGTTTTTAACAACGTATCTTAGGACTGCTGCAACTAGTACATGGAGCTAAATAATTCTCTTAATAGCTACATAGTATTCCAACAAATGGATAGACCTTCATTTATTTAACCAATCTGCTGCAGATGGTTTATTTCTAGTCTTCCACTACTACAAACAATGATATAATACCGTTGCACATACATCTTACCCATATATGAATTCTGAAGAATTAGTTCTTAAAAAAATATAACTGCTCAAAAGGTCATATACATTTAAGTTTGGATACACATTGGTCAAACCAGTTTTCAGTGATACTGGATTGTGCAATCAGGTCCTGTCATGGATTGAATTTTGTCCCCTCAAAATATGTGTATCAATTCGGCTACGCCATCATTCCCAGTATTGTGTGTTTGCCCACCATTTTGTCAACTGATGTGATTTTCCTATGTTTTGTAAATCCTATGTCTATGATGTTGATAAGATGGGATTAGCAGCAGTTATGTTAACGAGGCAGGATTCAATCTACAAGATTAGATAGTGTCTTGAGCCAATCTCTTTTGAGATACAAAAGAAAGAAGCAAGCAGAGAGACGGGGGACCTCATACCACCAAGAAACCAACACGAGGAGCAGAGCACGTCCTTTGGACCTGAAGTTCCTGCATAGAGAATCTCCTAGACCAGGGAAAGACTGAGGACAAGGACCTTCCTCCAGAGCTGACAGAGAGAGAAAGCCTTCCCCCGGAGCTGGCACCCCAAATTCGGACTTCTAGCCTCCTAGACTGTGAGAAAATAAATTTCTTTTTGTTAAAGCCATCCACTTGTGGTATTTCTGTTATACCAGCACTAGATAACGAAGACAAGTCTCAAGTCCTACAAAAGAATCAACTGAAAATAACAGATTATCAGGTATGATAAGAGCTTGAGCAGCAAAAGACAAAATAAAATTAAATATTTTTTTACTTCAAAGGAGTTCATCAACTAAGTGAAAAGGCAACCCACAGACCGGTAGAAAATGTTCAGAAACCATATATCAGATTCAAAAAAACCAAAACCAAACCCGTTGCTATCCATTTGATTCCGACTCACAGCGACCCTACAGGACAGAGTAGTTTCCAAGGAGCAGCTGGTGGATTTGAAATGTTGACCTTTTTATTAGCAGTCGAGCTCTTAACCACTGTGCCACTAGGGCCCTATATATCACATAACGGCCTAATATTCAAACTATATATAACTTTTACAACTTAACAAAAAGACCTACAACCCAATAAAAAAATGGGCAAAGGACTAGAACAGACATTTCATCAAAGAGTATGTTCAAATGGCCAACAAGCACTTGAAAAAATGCTTGACATCATTAGCCATTAGGGAGATGTAAATAGAAACCACAATGAGGTATCAACTCACCCCCATTTGAATGGCAAAGATCAAAAAAATGGAAAACAACAGGTGCCGGGGAGGTTGTGGAGAAACTGGATCCCTCATCCACTGCTGGCAGGAATGTAAAATGGCAAAGCCACTGCGGAAAACAGTTTGACAGTTCCTAAAAAAGTTGAATACAGAACTACCATATTACCCAGCCATCTCAATCCCAGATATATACCCAGAAGAAGTGAAAGCAGGAACACAAACAGAAACCTGTACACTAAAGTTCACTGCAGCACTTTCTACAATAGCCAAAAGGTGGAAACAACCGAAAAGTCCATCAACAGACCAATGGATAAACAAAACGTGGTATATACATACAATGAAATACTATGTAGCTGTAAAGAGACATGAAGTCCTAATACATGCCACATCACGGGCAAACCTTGAAAACATTATGTTGAGAGAAATAAGTCAGTTGCAAAAGGACAAAAACTGTATGATCTCACTTATATATATGCAAATACATAGAAACCAACGATTATTAGTGCTTATTGGGGTGGAAGGGAGGAGGAAAGGGCGAGTTTTTGTTTGAGGGATATTGAGTTTATATTAATGATGGTGAAATGCTTTGGAAAAGGGTAGCAATAAAGGTAATCAATGTCACTGAACTGTAAACAGAAACTGTTGAATGGTGAATGTTTTGGTTTGTATATTTTCACCACAACTTAAAAAAAGAAAAATTGCCGTGCAAGTATAAATCTGTGTAACCACTGTGGTAAATATTTTGGCACCATTTAGTAAAGTTGAATATATTGTATGACCCAGCAATTCCATTGGTAGGTAAACTCATGCAGGTATACCCTGTGTAAAAGAATGTTCATGGCAGCATTGCTCATAAAACTAAAAAATGGAAATAACCAAAATGTCCATCATTATTAGAAGGGATGAAAAATTGTGGTATAATTAGAGTCTAGAATACAAAATAGTAAAGAAAATGAATAAACCACTATTATATCTGTTAATAATAGGGAAACTGAGGCCCAGTTTGACACACTGATTAAGTCTTTGCAAACCCCCCTTACGAGAGACATTTGTTAACCATAAATTAGCTGGACTTTACCTAATGCAAAGAATGTAACTTCAAGTAACTTCCTTTGTTTTCTGAGAGCTAACCCTTGGAACTGCCTGAATAACTGAAGTTGTTGTGTGCTGTCAGGTTGATTTCGACTCACACCAACCCTATAGGACAGAGTAGAACTGCCTCATAGGGTTTTCTACGTTTTAATCTTTAAGAGAGCAGATGGCCAGGTCTTTTCTCTAGCACCTTTTATCATTTTAAAACCTCTGGACAACACCTCAAGATTTGTGCAAATGAATGACCCCCACCCTCCCATCCCCCCTCAGACTAGAGACCTAGAGACCACCTGAAGCTACCTGGGTTCAGTAAGGGGGGGGGCATGGTTCAGTCAACCACGTTAATATTAGGCAATGGTTGCTTTTCTATGCTACTCCCTCCTCTTCACTTTAAAAGCTTCATTGTAACCAGCCTACATTGACCTATTTTTTTTTCGAAACAGAATCGACTCCCTATATGCATACAGAATAACTGCTCGAATAAACCCTATGTTTTAACTTCTTTGTGTTTTGATTATTTTTTAACATATCTAATATGGATGATACTCACAAACATAGCAAAACAAACAGCAAAACAAAAGACATGACAGTATGACAGCATTCATATTAAGTGGAAAAAGTACAGTATAACGCTTAGAAAGCTATGCATAAATGATAAAACTGTCTTAAACTTATCCAGTCCCACACCAACCATGGAGACTCACTGTCATAGGCAACCCACCCTCAAACGGTCACATAAGCACAATCACACATTTACCAAGGGGACACGCACAACCGTATATTACAACAGCACAACATATTACCACGTCACACTAGAACTGTCACAGGCACCCCACACCTGCACATGGTCACACAGTCACGATCACACACTAACCACTAATCACAGAGTCACAGGTATCTCCACCTGTATTCAGTACCTCTCACGGGTCAGTCACACAATCACACACCCCTACGGAGACAAACGCGATAACCAATCATAAGCTCCCCACACCCGCACACACAATGCCGCACATGATCACAATCACACACAAACCGCGGGGTCGCGCAACAGTCACAGGCTCCCAGGCTGTGCTGTGCGCGGTGTTACGGTCAGAACCACACCACCCACCACGGGAACGGCCGGTCACAACCGCACGTTCATTCACCACACAGGCAATTTCACAACATCACCACCTCCCCGCACAAGACCGAGACTAGGGCTCCTTACCTCAAGCTTTCCAAGCTTCCGAAGTAGCAGAGACCCCCACAGCGCTGGAGCAGATGCCGGTGCAGGCCTGAGGGTCCCGCCAGCGCGTGACTGTGAGGCTGAATTCCCGCGAGAAGCACGGTCATGCCGCAGAGTCCTCTTGGAAACGTAGTTGGAGACGTACCCGCGGCAAAGATCTTGGTTCTCGGTCGTTAAGATTCCTCTCGGCGATTAGCTGCGGCCCCGCGAAAAGGATTGCGCTGCCTCATGCAAATGTGCCTCGGAAACCTCACAAAGTCCCAAATGAACCTCGGGCCGTGACGCCCAAATAAGGCCAGTATGGAGCGTTTGAGACGGTCTTCCTTCCCGAACCCGGACCACTATACCTAAGAAATGGACAGGTTGGGGAGAGAAGAGCAAGTTTGTTCGGGGAGAGAATTCGCACCGCTGAGCCTTCTGGGAAGTGTAGTTCGGTGCAGGCTAAGCGGCAGATGGACCGTTCGAAAGTTCTCTAGAATCCTCTCAAAGCTGAACCTAAGGCTGGCCACACCCCGGAGAGTCCTGGGAGTGCTAGGGCGCGCGGGGGTTGCGCAGGCGCAGACTTTCTGGGTCGCCATTTTGGCCTTTGTGGTGGGTTTTGCTCTGGGTAGGAATCCTGGTTGCTCAGTGGTGAAAGCGTTCTGCTCCTGAGGGAAGGGTCAGTGTTTGGAACCTACCAGCCGCTCCATGGAGAAAGATGTGGCAGTTTGCTTTCGTAAAGATTTATAGCCTTGGAATCCCTATGGGGCAGTCGTACTCTGTCCTAGAGGATCGTTATGGGTCATAGTAGTGAGGTTTTTTTTTTTTTTTTTTTGGCTTTGGGTATCTCTAGTGCAGAGGAATGTGGGATTGGGGCTTCTCAGACCCAAACCAGATGGCGAGAGCCAAGGTGGGGAGACTAGAAACTTGTGACCAGACTGAGGAGGCTGAAGGGCAAGGGTCGCTAAGCATGCGAGGGGAGTAACTAAAACCAAACCCACTGCTGTTTTGTCGATTCCGACTCATAGCGACCCTATAGGACAGAATAGAACTGCCCCAAAGGGTTTCCAAGGCTGTAAATCTTTACGGAAGTAGGCTGCCTCATCTTTCTCCCCAAGAGCGGCTGGTGGGTTGGAATCGCGGAGCTTTTGGTTAGCAGCCCAGCGCTTTAACCAGTGCACCGCGAAGGGACTACCCCTTTCCGTCGAATCGATAGCGACTCAGCGAAGGGACTAGGGAGGCTGAAAGGGAGGAGTGTCCGTAAATGCTTAGCGGCTGATGTTACTTTGAGCTTCTGACTTCTGAGCACGTTTGGGGAGGGGGAGCTGAGGAGAATGAGGGGGCAGTCAGGCCGGTTTACAGGAAGGAAGGCGCGTGCGGCTGTATGTGACTGGGCATAGCAAGGTGTTTGGAGTCAAAGAGTGAGGAAGAAAGGTTAAAGATTTTGTAGATGTGTGAAAGTGAAAATTTAAGGGACTGTAACTGTATGTGCGACTGGGATTGTGAGTATCTTGGAGAGAGTAATCTTTGAGCCTTGTCTGTAAAACTAGTACGAATGGATCTTCCTGAAGCATCAGTTTTTCTTGAAGATATGTAGGGGAAAAGGCTAGGTAGTTGAACTGATAAATGATTTAAAACGTGATTTTTATATAAAACAGGAAAAAGCTATTAATGGAGTAGAAAATAAAATTGACGTTTTCTTTAAAAAGAATTTCAAAGGGTCTTCTTTTATGGAGTACTTGCTCTTGCATATAAGCCAGACCCTTGAGACATGGCCGTTCAGTCTTCTGGGTTCTTTTAGGGATACAGGGGTTCATGTGAGAAGTCCTGGATTAAGAAATAATTTTAAAATTTTAAGAAGTAGCGTTGACCGTTGCAAATAAAGAAATGAGTTAGGCAGTGTTACCCCATTTTCTGAAGAGAAAAACCATCGCTTAAAGGAGATCAAGGAATATAAGTTTACAGTTTGTCAAGGATTACGCATCTCATACTAACTGGTTGCTTGCAGACCATGTGGATTTTGTTAGGTAATCACTTCTAACCGCAAATGTGCTTCCTCCAAGTATTTTGCTGCTGTTACTTTTTAAGTAATTTTAATAAAAGGAGAAAGTAAGGTAGTCGGATATAAAATTCAGTCTTCATATAAACAAAACCATGGAAGAAAGGCCCTCATTTGCCGGAACAACACGTAGGATAAAATACTTAAAAATGACCTTAACAAGAAATACATGAAATTTATATGGGGGAAAAAAAAACTTAAAACACTATTAAGGGATACAAAAAAGATTTAAGCAAATAAAAAGTTATACTATATTCTTGAGTAGAAAATCCTGTGAAGTTAGAGGATAGCCCCCAAGACTGCTTTTACTTCTAACAACATCTGCATGGTTTAGGGGTTCCCAAGACCACTCTCAGGTTCTATAATTAACTGGAAGGAGTCACAGAACTCACTGAAAGCTGCTATATTTACGGTTACAGTTTATTACAGCAAAAGGATGCAGATTAGAATTGGCCAAGGGAAGAGATGCATGGGGCAGGGTCCAGGAGGGTTCCAAATGCAGAACTTCCAGTTGTGGTCTCCTTGTTGAGTCACAGACAGCGATAGTTCCTCCTACGTGACAACCAAACCAGTTGCTGTCAACTCTGACTCATGGCGACCCCATGTGTACCAGAGTAGAACTGTGTTCCATAGGGCCTTCAGTGGCTGACTTTCAGAAGTAGATTGCCATGCCTTTCTTCCAAGGTGCCTCTAGGTGGACTCAAACCTCCCTCCTTTCAGTTAGCAGCCGAATGGGCTAACCTTTTGCACCACCCAGGGACTTCATGTTTTCTAAATAGATAGGTTATTCTAAAGTTCAAGTGGAAGAACAAAAGCTAGAATAGATAGTGTCTCGGGGGGAGAAAAAGCAATGGGTGGCAGTCAGGGCTTGTCTTACTAGATAACAATATATACTCTAAATCTTCAAAGATTATAATAATTTGGGACTATTATCTGACTGGGCAGGCCAGAGGAGCAGAATAGAAAATCCATCATTAAAGCAAATAAGGATTTTAGTGTATGGTGAATGTGGCATCTCAAAGCATTTGGGAAAAAATGCAATTTTCAATAAAGGTGATAGGGACATTTTGGGAGAAAAATGGGTTATACTTGTACAGAAATCTGAATCAACTACAATCAGTCAGAACTTCAAAGTACAATGAACAATGAAAAAATTTAAGTTCAAAAGGCTGAAAACTTAGGTGAATTCGTTTAAAACCATGGAATGGAGAAGGCCTTTCTAACTATTTAAAATTCCAAAGCTGTAACATAAAAAATTGATCATCTCTACTACATAAAAAAAAGACAAACTGAAAACAAATATTTGTATTTAATGTTACAAACAAATGGCTAATCTCCCATTTGTAAGATTACATATATATATGTGTATATATAT